TGGGATTTATTATTAATTTTGCAAAGTCTGAGCTACAACCTGCACGAAGACGGAAATATCTTGGTTTCATTTTCGATTCTGAGTCCCAATCAATCTCGATTCCAGATTCTCGTCGGATTAAATTATGTTCTCTGGTTTCAGATTTTTTAAAAAAGACTTGCTGTTCAATCAAAGAATTCGCAAGTTTGATTGGTTCTCTCGTTTCCGTTTGCCCAGCGGTGAAATATGGTTTGCTTTATACCAAAGCTTTTGAGAGACAAAAGTTCCTTGCCCTTGAAAAATCGAATGGTAATTATAAAGCTAAAATGATTATTTCTTCGGAGCTTGAGGAGGACTTTCGATGGTGGTACAATACCTTGATCAACCCGAATCAATCAAATTGTATTCTATCGGGCCGTTTTGCATGTGAAATTTTTTCTGATGCCTCTCTCACCGGCTGGGGTGCATCCTCTTCTTTAGACCGTACTCATGGCTGGTGGTCTTATGAAGATAAAGCTCTTCACATTAATGTTTTAGAGCTCAAGGCCGCGTTTTATGCGCTGAAATGTTTTGCTTCTGATAGGCACGACTGTGAGATTTTGCTACGTATTGATAATACCACGGCAATAGCTTATATTAATCGTTTTGGTTCGATTAAATATCCTTCTTTGTCAATTTTTTCTAAGGCCATTTGGCAATGGTGCGAAGTTAGAAATATTTGGTTGTTCGCTTCCTATATCGCCTCCGCTGAGAATGTTATTGCGGACGAGGAATCTCGTCGTTTAGATTCAGACACTGAATGGTCCTTGTCCAGTGAGGCCTTCCAGTTAATTGATTTTGTTTTTGGACCGTTTGACCTTGATCTTTTTGCTTCTAATATAAATGCGAAATGTGATAGGTTTGTCTCCTGGATCCCGGATCCAGAGTCTTTTGTGATTGATGCTTTTACTCTTGACTGGGGTGAATTTTATTTTTACGCTTTTCCCCCCTTTATTCTTCTACCTAGAGTTTTGCGAAAGATTATTAATGATGAAGCGGTAGGGATTGTGATCGTGCCATGGTGGCCATCGCAATCCTGGTTTCCGCTCTTTAAGCGACTCTTAACCTCTTCTCCGATCATTTTGGACCCAGCGGATGACCTTTTATCTTCTCCTTTTAGGAAACGCCATCCAGCTGCCAAGTCTCTTTCCCTGGGAGTAGGGAGATTATCCGGCAAGCTTTTGAAGCCAGAGGTGTCCCAAAATCCGCCATTGACACCATCCTAGCATCCCTTGCGCCATCTACAATCCGTCAATATTCAAGTCCTTTGCGTTCCTGGTGGGAATTTTGTCAACAACATCATTGCCCGCTGTTTGCCCCGGAAACCAAGGACGTGCTTCAATTTCTTGCGGATTTTTCACATTCGCTTGGTTCATACTCCTCGTTGAACTCTGCCAGGTCAGCGGTTTCTTTGATTTCTGCTAATTCAATTGGAGATGAGCCTCTTATAAAACGTTTTTGTAAGGGCGTCAGTGTCTTAAAACCATCACGTCCACGTTATGATTTTATATGGGACCCCTCTCCAGTAGTGAAAAAACTTGCTACTCTTTTTCCCCATGAATCTCTTTCTTTTGAAGTTCTTACTAAGAAATTTGTTTTATTGTTAGCTTTAGCCTCTGGACAGCGTTGTCAAACCTTGGCAGCTATTCGCGTTTCGCAAATTTCGTTTACTGCAGAGAGGGTTCTCATTCGGATTCCAGACCGTATTAAAACTTCAGCTCCGGGTCGCCCACAACCCCTGTTGTCTTTTCCTTGTTTTGAAGGGCATAATAGTTTATGTATTATGACCCTTCTTTCTCATTTTTTGTCTCGGTCTCGAGAATTTCGTCCGCCTTCTTGTGACTCTCTTTTTATAGCACTCAAAAGTCCACATATGGCTGTTGGTGCCCAAACGATTAGTCGTTGGCTAAAAGCCGCTCTTTTAGATTATGGAGTTAGTGACATTTTTTCTGCTCATAGCACCCGACATGCGTCGACTTCGCTTGCAGCTCGAAAAGGGGTGTCTGTGGAGCTTATTAAGCGTGCGGCCGGTTGGACCGGCGAATCTCGCGTTTTGCTGATTTTATAACAGACAAGTTTTAGATATAGACGCGTTCGCCAATGCGGTTTTATCTGCATAAAGTTTAA